AAATTCTCTTGTAAGAGTTCGGAAAATCTTTGCACAGCTCATTTGCAGATGATCTTAGCTCCAACTTTTACTTTAACGCTCTCCACCACTTGATTTACATCTCCCAAAATAACCACTTCTGTCTTTTCTCATTCTAACAGCTTTTAGTCACCACTTCTTTTCAGAAAAAGAGAAAAGAACTTTACATTATTGTCTTTCGACCTGGCGTCTGATTCCATTGTTCTCCCTCTGACTGTGTTTCCATCTGGGGATTATTGTACCGGCTCAATGTCCATCGCGTGCTGAGACGGCCTGAAATGTACTCATCGTTGTTCATATGTAAACAAAACGACTGGTGATTGTTGGCAACAAAAATGACTCTGCTGATTTCACTCTTTAAAAAAAAATTAAACTTTTGTAATTAATGATTTGTTATTACCGTTTTTAATCATAAATGATTTACAACATACAAAAATTCAAAACAAAAACATTGTTCAATGGTGTGATTTGACAGCTACTATGGCTTTAACCCTCCTGCTGCCCTTGGGTCAAAATGATCCACAAAGCCTTCCTGGGTCATTTTGACCCAAGGGAAACAGTAGAGTTGAACAAATGCCACTAGAGTCACTCTCCAAGTTGGCTCTTCTCTTTTGATTCCTCGTGTTAATGAGGCCAAACGGTGCTGAAATAATCCAACAGGATTATATACAGACTCTTTCCAAAAAAAATAAAATATCATGGAAAAGTTGTTAACTTAATTCCATTCATAAAGTTAAACTGTAACAGATGATAGATTCAGGACTTGCAATTTCAACAATCTCAAGTATTTGTTAATTTTTACATAATTTGGGCTTCCAGCTCACGAAACTCACAAAAACAGGAATTCAAAAAATTAGAATACTGTGAAGACATCAGGCCACACTACTCAGTTTTTGCAGAAAAAAAGAAATAAATTAGGATCACAACAAATCAATCAAACTATGGTACTTTCAAAATGATGTCAATCTTCAATACTTGGGAATCTCTTTGCCTTAATCTCTGCCTCGATGCAAGGTGGCATTGAGGCAATCAGCCTGTGGCATTGACTGGGAGTTATGGAAGTCCAGATTTCCTTGATGCTTGCTGTCAGCTCTTCTTTGGTGTTGGGTCTGGTGCCCCTCATGTTCCTCTTGAGAATACCCCAGAGATTCTCAATGGGGTTTAGGACTTAGCACTGTGGCATGGGCATCAAACCAGGTTTTGGTGCTTCTGGCGGCATGGGCAGAGACCAGGTCCTGCTGGAAGATGAAATCTGCATCTCCATACAGATCCTCAGCAGAAGGAATCATGAAGTCCTTTAAAACATTCTGGTAGACTGTTGCGGTGACCTTGGATTTAAGAAAGCAGAGTTTACTAACACCTGCACCGGACATTGCACCACAAATCATGACTGACTGCGGATATTTCACACTGGACCTCAAGCAGTATGGGTTCTGTTCCTCACCCTTCTTCCTCCAAATCCTTGGACCTTGATTTCTGAATGAAAGGCACACTTTACTTTCATCAGAAAAGAGGATCTTGGATCACTGGCCAATGGTCCAGCCCTTCTTTTCTTTGGCCCAGTTGAGACACTTCCTACATTGGCTCAGGTTCAGAAGCTTGACCCGAGGAATCCGATAGTTGTAGCCCATCTCCCAGATGCGTCTGAATGTGGTGGTTTTTGAAGCTGTGACTCCCGCCTCAATCCACTCTTTCTGGATCTCTGCCAGATTCTGGAATCTTCTATGTTTGATAATCTGCTGAAGCCCATGGTCATCTCTTTTGCTGGTGCATCTTCTCCTGCCACATTTTGCCCTTCCACTAGACTTTCCATTGATATGCTTGGACACAGCACTCTATGAACAGCCAGCCTCCTCAGCTATGACTTTTTGTGGTTTACCCATCCTATGGAGGGTATCAATGATGGTCTTCTGGTCAGTTCTTATATTTGCAGTCTTCCCAAAACTGAACCAAACTGAGAAAATTGAACCAAACTGAAGCAATTTAATGACACCTGAGGAAACATGTGCAGGTGCTTTGAGTTTAGTAGATGATTAGTGTGTCACACTCAGTTTAAAACATTCATGCCCTGCAAAATTTTGGCTGATTTTTCCACAGTATTCTAATTTTTTGAATTCTTGTTTTTGTGGGTTTCATCAGCTGGAAGCCCAAATTATGTAAAAATGAACAAATAAATACTTGAAATCATTTAAATTTCAGGCCCTGAATCTATCATCTTAAAGATGAACTTTTTGAATGGAATTATGGAAGTTAAACAACTTTTCCATGATATTCTAATTTTTTAGAAAGGGTCTTATTTTGTGCTCCTTCGTTAATTAACTGTACTCTAGGACTTTTTTTTTTAATGAAATAATTAAAGTCTAAACTCCAAAATGTTAACAACGAAGTCCATGCTCCAAAATGTTAAGTTGACGGGGAGCACGTGAAGGCACCACCCACCCCCCACCCGCCCCGCCCTTGTGAAGAGTCACGCAAACCCGGCGGAGTGGAAGGAAACAGAGGCGGGCTGTCTCCGCCCTGCCTGAACAGAAAAAAAAAAAAAAAATGTTGGAAGAAGCTGTTGGAGGAGGACTGCGGTGGGTAGTTGGATTACCTGTTCTGCCGAGGAGTCCGCAGCCTCTCTGTCTGTTGTGACCGATGCCCTGAAGCATCCCCATGAAAGAAAAAACGACTTCTTTGACGTGTAAGTAAAATAAAAAGGTTTGGATTCCTAAGGACCTTACTGTCCAGTCAAACGGCTGGATTTTCTCCCCCCCTGTGGAGAGCAGAAACTAACTGGGGCGACTTCTCTATCGATTTATATCCATAGAAGCTTCTCCCTGGCTGGGGTGGGGGTGTGTGTTTGCTAAGGACCCCGGCGACTTTACAACTTGTTGAACTTTGAAGCTGCAAACAAAAAAAGTGACGTTCGAGCCGGTTTCTTTGCAAGTGGTGGTGCGTTTAAGTGTTTCGTAAACTGCAGCGCCGGCCGGTTTTTGTCCTCCACCTGTGAACAGAATTGTTCGTCCTTTTTTTTTTTTTTTTTGTACACGCAGTGATCCGTGAATTTAGTTTTGGTTTTCACAGGTCACATATTGTATTACTTGCTCTCATTCCACAGGGGGGGGGGGGGGGGGGGCTGGCTTTGTTGTTTACGGGGCATTTTTTTATACAACCACTTGCAAAGACACCGTCTTTTTTTTTGGCCCGCGGCGTTCTTTTTTTTTTTTTT